AAAAATGATCCATTTTTGCATGGAAAAATATGCATGACTCTAACAACCTAATATCTGAGAGCATTTTAGTAAAGATAGACTAACAGAACTCCCCCCTAAAAATACATGAAATAAGAATTCAAAAGAAAGTGATTCTAATACATATTTATTCTTACCTGGGTATTAGCGGGCAAGTCTTCCATTCCCTAATCCTCAATTTTGTCATTTTTAAATCCTTAGCATATAGAATTTAAGGAGGGATTAAGTGAAGTAATAAACATAAAGCAGATAGCATATACTTGATGCCAAAAAAGAAGTTCATTTTAGAGGCCAACAGGTGGCATAGTGGTTACGGTGCTGGGCTCCCACTTGGCAGACCATGGTTCAAGTCTTGGCCCTGGCTGGGTTCATTTACGTGTGTGCCAATATTCCAAAAGAAGAATGTAGAAGAAGGGATTGTTGCAGCATGCTCATCTCCCTTTGGGGGACGATTTCTCACTCTCTTACTCTGTCTCTCTCTTTCTGGCAAGCACACATGCCCCATGGCAAAAAAAAAAAAATTAAAAAATAAAAAAGTTACTTTTTCTGTTCCTCCCTAGTAATAATGGGATACAAATCTTATTAAAGGATAACCAAATTGGAAGAATATGAATACTCTTCCATGTGAAACTATTTTCTATATTATTATCTGTGATTTCTATTTAACAAGGAATATGAGGGAAAAATCTTAAAATATCACTTTGTAAAAATAGCCATACTTCGACTGAATAAATAACATTCAAGTATCATTCTGATGGGAGTTGTTCTCAGTGTGGTTATGCAATAAATAAATTAGCAAAATTCCTACCTGCTAAACCAGGAATATGTCACTCTACTGAAGAATGAAGCACTTTTCTCTGGACTGCATTTCTAAAACATAAATAAATAAATAAATAAATAAATAGCAAATGATGCATGAAGTAAATGCCTTTCATTTACATTTTTTTCTTTCTTTCTTTCTTTTTTTTTTTTTTTCGTAGAGGTTTTTGCTATAGGACCGGTGCACTCACCAGACAGACAGAGAGAGACAGAGAGACAGAAAGTGAGAAATCACCCCCCAGGGGGGATAACCACGCAGCAATCCCTTCTCCTCCATTCTCCCCTCGGAATCGTGGGCACACACGCACACACGCCCGGCGTGAGTCGGCGTGAGTTTTAAGCCACCGGGTCCGGGACGTGAACCACAGTCGACTATGTGGGAGTCCAGCGAAATAGCCATTACGCTAACTGCTGGTCCCACCTTTAATTTACATTTGAAATCCCTTTGTCAGTAGATGCAAAAGTAAATGTGAAACAACTTATTATATTAACAGTTACAAATATGCTGATATGATCTATAAAGAATATAGTTAAGTGAAGATATTCATATTTAGTGGGTAGATTAGAGAGCTTTTAAGAGTTCTGAGATTTCTCCCAATTTTTTTTGACTGTCACATACCAACAAATCATGCTGGAAAGGAAAATCATTTCTCGAATTCCTTTCTCTCTCTTTTCCTCTGTCTAGATAGATGTACAGTTACATCTATACATGTATCTTTTTTTTTTTTTTGAGAGGTTTTCACTATAAGGCGCGTGCGCTCGCCAGACAGACAGAGAGAAAGACATAGAGACAGAAAGCGAGAAATCACCCCCCAGGGGGGATGGTCACGCCGCAATCCCTTCTCCTCCATTCTCCTCTCGGGATCTTGGGCACGCACGCACACGCGCCCAGCGTGAATTTTAAGCCACCGGGTCCAGGACGTGAACCGCAGTCGACTACGTGGGAGTCCAGTGACATAGCCATTACGCTAACTGCTGGTTCCCTACATGTAACTTCATACAGTTCCTTGAAATTATTAGCATATATGGCTATTTATAATTAGTAGAATCATGCAACATTATATATGTATGCATATTTTCATATACATGTATGTTATATGTATGTACATATACATAATTTTGCTTATATATATGTAAAGCTAATTTTAAAACATTTTAATTGCTAAAAATGAGTTTTGTCTTTTTTATTGAAAAATAGACAATGAGACTATAATATATATTTGCTATATTTCTGTCTAGTTACATATTTTTGCAATTATAAACATAATTATATATATATATATCACAATTAATGTTTGTTGGGGGGCAGGTGGGTTATAATAGTTACAAAATAGTCATTTCATTGACTTGTGGGTTCAACCAAGAGAAAAAAACTTTAAAAAGGAACGTCCTCAAAACATATCATTTCACATTTTAGAGTCATCATCAATCTCTTCATATTTTAAAAAGTAAAGCTGATCATTATGATAAATTTGATTCTTAGAAATTGTGTCACTTTTAGCAACTTTTGCATTGATCCTCTCTAAACCAGTTCTGATTCTATATTTTTAAAAATGTGGTATCCATTTTTTTAATGTTGCATCTAGAAAGAATGAGAGAAACAATATTCTTTTTCTTTTTTTTTGGAGAGTTTTTTTTTTTTTTAATTGTTTTGCTATAGGGCATGTGCACTCGCCAGAAAGCCAGAGAGAGAAATAGAGAAACAGTGAGAAATCAACCCCTGGGGGGATGGCCACACCACAATCACTTCTCCTCCATTCTCCTCTCAGGATTTTGGTCATATATGCATATGTGCCTGGTGTAAGTTTAAGTCATGGATCTGGATCTCGAACCACGGTCAACTGCATGGGAGTCCAGCGACATAGCCATTACACCAACTGCTGGTCCCAAGAGAAACAAAATTCTATCCTTTACAGAAAAATGTCCTGAGTATAGAAAAGAAAGCATGATATTTGGCTACAAATCTTTCTTTCTGTATTATAGTAAATGGTATAGTATAAATTATTTAAGATACATATATAATTTATCAAAATTATATCTATCCTCATAAGATTGTGTCAAGAATGGAATGCAATGACAAATATAAAACTTTTATACCACTACTGACCCAAACAACCAGTCAAATGTATGAACTAAAATTTTTGTCATCATTATCACCACCACTCATATTATGTAGAAAAGAAATACATATATTATTTGGGAAAAGTTCTAAAACTAATTCTCTACTTAACCTGGAGGACATATTTTAAAACATGCATTCAAATTGCACAGGAAGTTGACAATTTAATAATTGGCAAACAACGAGGAGATTTTACTCATATCCAAAATGTGCAGATTTCTGAGCAAACTGCAAATGGCTACAGATTCTTTGCAGCCTTAGCCATCACAAGATAGAATCTGCTTTCCACCCCTTAAATCTAGGCAGGCATTGTGTTCTGCTTTAATTACGAAAGTGAAACCCAAGGGACATTTGAAAGAGTTCCAATTCTAAGCTTCAAAAACCCTTGCTGCTTTTGCTTTTGCTCTGCTTGTGACCGTAGGTGCACCATGTAACTGAGTCTAAGGTAGCCGACTGAGAGTGGAAGGGAATCCAGGTGTTCATCTGACAGTCTGTCCCCAGTCTCAGTAACTGCCAGACATATGGCTAAAGTGGTCCTAGACTATCCAGTTACCAGCTGATTGGCCAGTTGATCGGAAATGGATAATAGAGTTCAGTAGTTATCAGCCAATCTGACCCAATCCAGACACAATCCAACTGATCCAGAGAGCCAAGAGCTGGATAACAAGGTTGGTTGGTAGTTTTCCCACTCTCCAGTTTGATTTTATTACAGAATTGTAACACAAATCTCTCTTCCTCTGGAATGCAAACTCCTCGGGGAAAGGCAGGGGCTTTCTTAGTCTCCTTGGTGGCTTTATTTCTGTGGCAAGCAGTGCCCGAATACAGAAGGTGTAGAATACTTGGATGCCTGTGTTTCTGAGAGGAAGATTCAGGAACAGCAAGTTATCATCTTGAATCAATTCTAATTTTATGTCATGTCTCTGTGGGATAATCGTCTTCTTTGTGGCTCACTTTTTCTTCCCTTATAAGAAGAGTGTTCATTTGCTGCCCAGAGATTATGCACAGGTTAAGTCGTTCTGAAAACAAAATGAAACTATGTATTCACTTATTTTTTTAAAAAAATACTTTTCTAGATTCTTCACAGTATGATTAAGAGGTAAGAGTTTGTTAAAGGGACCAGCAGTTAGTGTGGTTATGTCACTGGACTCCCATGTAACCGAAAGCGGTTCGAATCCCGGACTCAGTGGCTTAAACTCACGTCAGGTGCATGTGCTTACGTGCCCAAGATCCAGAGAGGAGAATGGAGGAGAAGGGATTGCAGCATGGCTATCCCCACCAAGGGGTGATTTCTCGCTTTCTGTCTCTCTGTCTCTCTGGCGAGAGCACGTGCCCTATAGCAAACAAACAAACAAAAACCTCTCAAAAAAACAAAAAGGTAAGAGTTTGTTAAACATCAAAAGCCAACTCCTTCTGGCTGCGAGGTCACATCCTACATAGGGATTAAAGCCTATTCAGTGTTGTGTGTGTGTGTGTGTGTGTACGGGTGGGTGTGGGTGTGGGTGGGTTGTTATTGATCTCATTTCATTGAAACTGGTTGTGGTTCCTGGAGAATTCTCCTATATCTTACAATTTTTTTAAATCTTATTTTATTTCAAGTTCTTTTATACATTCAATCACATCATTTGGTTTGCAAAGTGAATATTCCAACATGTTTACATTTCTCCCCAATACAGTTGATAATACTATAAAGTTATCTTCAACAGATAATACCCCATTTTTTGTCCCATTAAGCACCTAAGTCTTGCTGACTTTACTAAACTAAAAACTCAGTATTTGACATGACTTCTTGCCCTCATCCCACCCCTGGACTATTTTCCATGCAAAAGCATTTTACTTCTCTTTTCTTTCTTACTTCTTTTTAAAATGGCTATAGGGTGCATATAATCACTAGAGAGAGAAAGAGAAAGAGAGAGGGAGTGAGAAAGCACCCCCTCCTGGGGGAAGGGGGATGAGTACTCTATAATCCTTTCTCTATTCTTCACATGATTTGGGGCACGTACAGACCCAGTGACTTGAAAAACACACCAGATCATCGTCTAAGAGTACCTCTGAGTCCTCTGATAAATAGTCTCCTTAGATTCAGAGTAAGCATTTCATAACCACATTTATCACAATAATATCTAAGCACATTTGAACTCCCAGGAAGATAGCAGGCAAGTAAAAAAAAATCTAATGAAGATAATTAATTCTTACCAAGTACCAGGGGTGTATAAGTGATTTCTCAATAAATAATTGCTAAATTCACTGACTTTATTATTTATATATTGCTGCATAGCAACATTTATAAAGAAAAATAGAATATGACAATTCTGAGAATATCTTTTTTAAATATTCTAATTTATTCCCATCCTCTCTATTAAATATTTATCATCTTTCCTTTTCTCTTTTTTGTTTTTTAAGGTTTTTGCCTTAGGGTGTGTGCATTTGCTGGAGAGAGACAGCAAGACAGAAAGAGACAGAGAAAGGGAAAGTGTGAAATCATCTCCCAAGGGGATGGCCACACCCCAATTCCTTCTCTATTCTCTTCCAGGATTTGGGGCACTAACATGCACACACTATACATGATTTTCCAAGCCACCAGGTCTGGGGATGGAACCATGATCAGGAATATGGGAGTCAGCACCTTATCCATCATGACACCTGCTAGCCCCCATGTCTCATCTTGCTAACTCTCCTATTCTCACTGATAGTACTTCCAGTCTTCAGATCCAATTGATCCCAGCTGAGTGTCTCATTTCCCTTTTACCCACAAGCCCACTACAGACCTTGTTTCTAACCCATATTATTATCTACTGTACTTATTTACCATTAGGCTCATCGTAGGTGTTCTATAAACATACACTAACATTGCTGAGTTGAAGGCAATTTTCACTAGAAAGGTCTTGTTAATATATTTCTGGTTTAGAGCAGAGAAGCAAGAAGTGGTTAAGCCATTGGCCACAGCATAGCCAGGTGTATGATTTAGTCAAGTGTGTTGCCTTCAGTCTCCATTGGGTTCAAACTTGAGATGTGACACTCGGGGTGCATAGTTTGTGTGATTGATGGCTATGTTTGATAATGTCCCATAACTCTCACCTTCAGGAGCTTCTTTTTTGAGTATTGCAGGAGAGTTCTGGGAATAGTGGAGGAAGTTATAGAAAAGTGAAAGTACAGGCCCATGGAGAAGAAGAAAAACATCTAAAAAATATACAAGAACTTAAGCTTTTTGATCACTTACTTTCTGCCAGGTTCAGTACTGAGTATACCATCTTACTAAATATAGCATACTTTTATGATGGAAACATGTTTGCTATCTCCATTTTATAGGGAAGGAAACTAAGACCCAGAGTTTAAGAAACTTGCCCGATTTTCCCACTGAGCAGGCTAAGAAACTGGATATAATCTGGCCAGTTCATTCTTCCAGTCATCATTCCACACGCTCAGTTCTGTACCTGCCACACTGTCTGTCACAACATAGAGCTTTCTTTCTGCCCACTCTCTATTTCACTCTCCCAGCTCTTTTGTTTTGATCCTATTAAGAGTTTACCACAGACATGGTAATCATGCTCGAAAAAAGAAATATTATACACTGTAAAGATAGATGTGATTAAAGGCAGTCCCAAATAAATAAATCAGAGTTTACCATGGTAATTTCTCTCCCTCTACTCCAGCCTCTAAGGCTCAGAAGGGTGTGTGTTAACATAGCAACACCAGCATACTCCTTAGGAGGGAAATAGGACTCCTTCATATCTGTACTCACTGAAGTTACCCTTGCTTTCTCCCATTGCCCAGTTTCCTGACAGGTGCTTCTCTCCTGTTAGATGTAGTGCCTCTGGAGGATAGAGACTATATCTGTTTTAATGCCATCGCTCCATTTTTAGCCCAGAGCCCAGCACATAGTAAAGATGTTTTGGATGAATCAATGGATGGGTGGATGGTTGGATGGATGGTCAGGTGGTTAGATGGATGCTGGTTGCTACCAACAAAAAATATTTAGAAGCATTCTACTCATAGAATGGTTCACCATGGCAGCTTTGGAAACTCCAGAAAGACATGTTCTTTACTTAGATAGGTAAGAATATTTACTTAAGACTTACATTAAACATATAGTCTCAACCATGAAATTTAATCATAGAAGGTTTCAATATGCTTTAAAGCCATCAACACTTCTTAAAAAAAATTTTGGTATCATAGAAACAACACAGCAAAGTGCCTGCAGATGGAGTGGAGGTTAAGGTGCTGGATCCCACATATCCGACTGTACAGTTCGAGTGCAGGTCCTGGGCACATATGTATTCATGCCGAAGATCCGAGAGACTGGAGAAGAGAAGATTGTGACACAGCTATTTCCCCAGGAGCGATTTCTCACTTTTTCTCCCTCTCTTTCCCAGCTACCCTTATAGCAAAAACAAACATAAATAACAAAACAATTAAAACAAAAATTTTTAATCCTGCCTAAGTGCATTTCTAATCTATGAAGACCATGAAAGTTCAATAATAGTCAAGGAAATAAACCTTGTTTGAGCCTTAGAGGAAGACTGGTATTTTGAGTGGTTAAATTGAGCTTCATAGTTTTTCACCCTCAAGTTTGTAATTTTCTGCCTGTGATTACTTTTGCTGTTACAACAGTGATATTAACCACTGTCCTGACTGAGTTTGCCATCTCTACTGGACAGTAAAAAGGGAATATTGTCACAGTGGAACTTTTCCATTTTCAAGAGACTTATTTAGCCCCTCTATTTAATAGGCTTTAAAAAGTATACTTTACATATAGATTATTTTAATTTTAAAGAAATTTAAAGTTTCATTTAATATGCAATCAGAAAAATAGTCTCATATTTATTTGATACTTGGAATTCTTAACCCCAAAACAGGATTAGAACAGGTCCTTTCAATCTAAAACCTTTTTTTTTTTCCTGTTAGGACTACAGAACTACCTGGGATAAAGGGCAGTTGGTAAGCCCGTGTCTTGTAAAGTGATGATCAGTGAAAGGAATGGACTGTTTTTACGGGAAATTGCTCCTAATAACAAGCCAAGGGTCATTTCTCTGACTATTGTTTTAGCGCGTGACTCCAATTGTTTACCCACCCGGGCAAAGCAAAGTTCCGCAGCTGTGACTGCAGTTTTCCACACCCATGCCAGTTAACACACTATGTATTCTTTATTCCGATTCGCTCCTGCGGTTTTAATGGGATCGCTCACTAGTTGGAGAAATCCACCCCAACGTCTACCCTCGAGCCAGGACAGGCTCATTCATCCTCTTCAGTTTCTGCTTCCTGGGATGTTGCTTTTCTCGTCGGTGCATCTTAAGCTCCTCCAGCTGCCACCTCGCCCAAGATCCTGATGGCTCAGGTTTCCCACCCTCCTGGAAACTGACCTCTGCTCTCCGGAGCGAGCCCGTCTGTCTACGTGTGTGATTGCTGCTAAGACAAGGCTCCAAGTCACCAGCCCACGTTCAGAGCCAAGCGATCCGCTCTCCTGGCTTCCACATCCTCAGCCCCAAAGTGACCCTAACGCCTGCCGCGCCTCGCCCCCCAGGACCAATGAGCTTTACCTGAGCATTGATCCCTCCGGGGATCCGCTCATAGGAGCCGCTGGCACCCCACCTCCACAGGCTGGAAAACATGGTCCCCCCGGCGCCCGGCGACCTGGGGCGGAGAGAGGTGCTGCGACTTCACCTCCACCGGCAAGGTCTTTCAGTCCCGGCCCAGGAAGGTGGGAGAACGCACGCGCCGCCGAGCCAGGCTGGCCCAGGACTGGACCGCTGGCTGCTGGTCTCTCTGGGTTAGCGTGCCTGGGGTGGGGTGGGGCGGGAAGAGAGGCTGGAGAGGGGAGGGACCACTACACAGTTGGCTTCCTCAGTAATGGCAAGTGTGCCCTTGATTCATTAGTCTCACCTTTTCTATTTATTTCTCGGGTTGCTCTGTTAAAGAACTCTGTGTTGGCCTTAGGGCAGAAGCACAACAGTTGTTCTTCCCTGGGATAACGTTTATGTTTGCAAACAGAATGTCATAGTTGTCTCCTACAGAAAATTATTAAGGATAAATATCAGTAGAATTGGGGTGGGGGGAACACATTTTATCGCAATGGCCATAAAATGAAAAATAAATAAAAGTAAAATAAAAAAGAAAACCACAATAGTATTTTGCATCTAAATTTTACTCTTCAAATTTAATAAAAAACAATGTAATAAGTGAAAATCTTAACAAAACTAGGATTAGCAATTATCTACAGGCATCACTTAACATAGAAAGGCGAATATTAAATCTAACAGATGACACTTTGATTTTTAGTGCATTTGGGAAATCAGGAGCTTTGTGTAAAATACAAACGTATACACAAGCCACTCTGAAGCAGACACAGGATACGTGACACTAGCTATTGATCTGACAATGCATTTTCTTTCCATGAGAACCTGAAACAACAGAAGAGAGAGAAATCCTATGATAAGGTGTAGTATTTCCTAAGGATGGGTATTATACTTCAGAGCCAAGGAACATTCTATCTGCTTCTTGTGACTGATGAGACAGGTGGATGGAGAGAACTGAGAAAGTAAGAGAGAAGTGTGGCTTCTTGTCCTGGAGAAAGGGCCCGAAGATGGCACCTGGGGAAGTTTGGGCTGAGTCACAAGATGGGTCAAGTGTGAGGGACCAGACAACTTCTATATGAGAATTAGATCAAATGATGCCTCTTGGAATCAAAGTCCTAGAGAATGTTTGGGACACAATGTATGTGTCTTCCTTTCTTTCAGCCATGTTTTTCTGTCCCGATGCAAAAGTAAAGTTGTAGATTTAAGTACATGACTGTGAGGAACGGCAGGTACAACTGAAGATCAAGAACATTGTCTCATCTTCTTCCAAAACTCTCCATTATCTCAGGTACTAATCTGGAGACATCTCATACCCACTCAGCAATTCCAGCTTGAGGAAGTCTCTCTCCTCTGTACTTCCAAACTACCCACTCTGGGCAGTCCAGTAGGAAAAGCAATGTCTTTTTGTGGGAGGTGTCCCTTGCTTTTAGTTAGATTTACAAAGAGAAACTGAGAGCCTGTCCTGTAGAGGATAAAGACTGGAAAAAGAGGATCTCTGAAAATAGCTCAGTCTCTAAACATTTGTTTTTCTTCCTTCTCTGGGAATCAATTCCCTCAGGAAAGGCTGGTTCTAGCAGAAAGACATCCATACTTACTCAGTCCCTAGAGTTATCTGACTTATTGACTCATGGGGCAAGGGAAGAATGCTCAAGATAACTGAGCAGAAGGATCAGCAGTTGGCATAATGGCTATGTCGCTGGACTCCCATGTAGTTAACTAGGTTCGAGTCCTGGACCCGCTGGCTTAAACTCATGCCAGGTGTGTGTGCATGCATGCCCAAGATCTCAAGAGGAGAGTGGAGGAGAAAGGATTACAGCGTGGCCATCTCCCCAGAAGGGTGTTTCTTTGTCTCTCTCTGCCTTTCTGGCAAGTGCATGCACCCTGTAGCAAAAAAAAAAAAAAAAAAAAAAAAAAAACCCAACAAAAACAGATGTCAGGGAGAGTGATAGTTGTTTGTGGTAAGTGGAGCTATGAAGCCTCTACCCAAATGAACTGGGGGAAAAATCTCTGAAAGCTTCACAAATATAATAAAAATTACACTTAATTCTAATTTCTCTATTTGGTATAAGGAAAAACTTAAGCCTGTGTAAATGACAGGGAAGGCCTGAAGATTTATAAGAAAAACATTTAGTCCAATGCTTAATTAAGAAAAACTGGGTGAAATATTCAGAGTCTCCTAGAAAATAGAAAGTATATTGGAACCAGCAGGTGGATAAGTGGCTTAGTCACTGGACTCTCTAATGGTCAACTGTGGTTTGAGACCTGGATCCAGTGGCTTGAAATTCATGCTGGGTGTGTGTGTGTGCATGCCCAAAATCCCAGGAGGGGAATGAAAGAGAATGGATAGTGGTATGGTCAATCTCTTTGGGGGGTAATTTCTTTCTTTCTAACCATCTCTCTCTCTCTGGCAAGTGCACATGTCCTAAGGCAAAAACCTAAAAATAAATAAATAAATAAAAATTAAAAAAGAAATTATGAAAGTACAACACTTGATATAAGCAAAAGCTTACCACCAAGCTAACATTCTTATTCACTGATTTCTCATGCTAACTGAATCATGAAATACTTTCATTTTCTAGCACAACAAAGCTCTTGAGGGAGTGAAATAAAAGGGCATATAAATTTAGTTTTGAGTGGGGCAAATTTTATCCCATAATTTTTTACTTCTGTAATTATTAGATTTATCATGTCCTTCCAGGAGGTTGAGGATGTTTCACAAATTCTGCAGGCACTGTAGGTCACCATTTCTTGCTGAGGAGACTATGTAACACAATCAGAATCTCAAAGGTTGATTATAAGTAAAATTAAAGAAAGAGCTGACTTTTCTACACTTAGCTAGGCATTTAGTTGTCACCATGACAGGATGGGGAGAATTTGTTTCTTTAAGAAGACAGTAGGTTGGGGCTAGCAGATGGTGTAGTGATTATGACGCTGGAGTCCCACATGGCCAACCGTGGTTTGAGTCCCAGACCCCAGGGGCTTGAAACTCACATCGGGTGTGTGTATATGTGTGCCTAAGATCTTGGGGGGAGAATGGAGGAGAAAGGATTGTGACATGGCCATTCCCTGTGGAGGGTTATTTCTTACTTTCTCTTTCACTCTCTCTCTTTCTCTCTTCAGCATGTGCATACAAAGGCAAAAATCTCTACAAAAAAAAAAGATAGTAGGTAATGTTTTCATGGGGACAAGGGGAGATCAAGCAGATATCATTTTCGTTGTCCTTGTTAGCCTTTTTATAAAAATGTGAGTTAGCAATACTATTCAGGGGATGGCATACTATTACTATCATTTTGTGAAGGGCTATTTAAATATTTTATTTTATTTTATTTATATTTTCTCATTCACTTATTTTCCAAATCATTTTTTCCTACTGTATTTTTCTGAATTTTCTCATTTACCTGGAGCAATTAATAAGTATTTTTCCAGTATAGCTTCTATACATTTATTGAGATACTTGTTTATCCTCGAAAAAAAAAAAAAAACATGTAGTGCCATTTTATGTGTTTTGAACACTTATACAAATGGTATTTTGCTGTAAAAACATTACAATAAAATTCCCTCTTGTCATGTAGCTTTGAAATGATTCCAAACACTTATACAGTTTGCTATGTGAGTGGTGTATTTTTGCTGTGTTAAGAAATTGGAGCATATGCCTTCCTCCCCTTGAGAATTAACACCATACCTTATCATTCCACCATATATGAGCTACTAACCTCAACTGCTGAACTTTAAAATGCCTGCCAGTTTAAGAGTTTGACAGACACTCTCGAGGGTGTAGGCTGTTGTGGGCCGAATTATCACTTGGCTGTCAAGAATATGCTCTGACAAGTCCACTCCATCACGTGGTTCTCAGAAGACTGGGAGCTCAGGCAGCAGGAAGGCCACACCCTGTGAGCCTTCCAGCTAACAAGGAAACCTTTGCCTGCCAACAGCAACATCTCCCTCTAGGGTTGAGTTTCTTACATGCATTTGCAGATCTCTGCTGTGTTGGTGATATCAGTCTCTTCCTGCGAACTCTGATATGAAGGTACACCCCATACCTTCGACTACTTTCTTTGGAGGTGTGCTTCCAATTTAATGTAGCAAATAAATACTAATCATTTCAGAACTCACTCACTATGTGGTTAAGGTACTTGGCCTATTAAGTGTGTTCTCTGTGAGGTTATTCTCCCTCTTTCAGCATTTGTGAACCGGAGAGGAGGAACACCATTTCCTCACATTGTAAAAGGTGAAGGGTAAAGAGATGAAACAAAGCCAAAGTCACCCTTTTATAATGACGTTAATTATGAAGGTAGAGCTTTCATGTCTTAACCACCTCTCAGAGGTCCCACTTCTTAATACTGTTACAATGGCAATTAGCTTCCAACATGAGCTTTACAGGGGATAAGCATTCAAATCATATCATATGACAATAAACTATGTAATTAGTGAAATCATACTTTGGACATAGCCTTATTTCAACTACATGAAACAGGACTGGAGAAGAGGAACTAGCCTTTTTTTTTTTGAAGAGGTGTTCTCTATAGGGTATGTGCGCTCACCAGAAAGACAGAGAGAGAGAGTTAGAAAGGGAGAAATCACTCCCCAGGGGAGATGGCCACGTCACAATCCCTTCTCCTCCATTCTCCTCTCAGGATCTTGGGCAAGCATGTACACGCGCCCGGTGTGAGTTTAAGCCGCGGGTCTGGGACTTGAACTGCGGTCGACTACATGGGAGTCCAGCGACATAGCCATTTTGCTAACTGCTGGTCCCAAGGAACTAGCCTTTATATAATGGCATTACTCCCTTCTTCCATAATTTTTTTTTGAGAGATTTTTTTGCTATAGGGCGCGTGCGCTCGCCAGACAGAGAGAGACATAGAGACAGAAAGTGAGAAATCACCCCCCAGGGGGGATGACCATGCCGCAATCCCTTCTCCTCCATTCTCCTCTCGGAATCTTGGGCATGCATGCACATGCGCCCGGCATGAGTTTTAAGCCACCGCGTCCAGGACGCGAACCGCGGTTGACCACGTGGGAGTCCAGGGACATAGCCATTATGCTAACTTCTGGTTCCCCCTTCTTCCATATTTTTAAAGTCAACATTATTTATAAGGGATCTACTCATGTAATGTTATGTAGTTTTCATCTATTGTTCCTGACAGCTGCCTG